GAAGGCATGTGACGAGCAGGACGAACACCCACAGGGTGGGTTTCCCCAGGCACGAGGCAAGGGTGGGTGACAGCAACAGCTCTCGACAGCGATCAGCAAGTTCAGAATTCCGGAAGAGGAACACAAAGGGGCCAGACTTGATCGCCCTCCGCGGGGTCGCGGTGCTGAGCTGCCTCCAACGCAGCCGGTAACGAGATCTTGAGCTCCTGCAATGTGGCTTCCATGGCGGGCTCCATGGAAGTGCCCATGGCATTGGTGAGGTATCCAAGCAGCCAGGTTCCGAGCTGAGACCGCCATGGTACGGGTCGTTCTTTCGGTCTTTGGTCTGGGGGCAAGCCGGCATTGCGTCGCCATGTCGCCCACAGTGCTGCAACTTGTGCTTTAGGCTCACCTCGTAAGAACACAACGGTGCTGCGGCGTGAGTTGGAGAGACCGACCTGATGGCTAGTCTGGAGAGCAAGCCGAGCAGCAGCGCCATCAGCAATCCTTTCGACCTTCGAAAGGGTCTTGTCGAGACGGTCGAGGTCTTCTTGTTTGGCATTGGGCATACGGGCGCGGAAGCACGGGCGCAAAAGCAGACCGTCACGGGAGTATCACGAATACACATGTGCTCTGAGCCAACGCAGCGAATATTGGTGGGCAGAATGTGAAACAAAAGGGTGATTAGTTGGGCAATACGGGCAATTAAGCGGGTACGCGAGGGAATAAGCAGAGTGGTTATGATTAATGTGCATACGGGCACTATCCTTACCAGGGAAGTAAGCCGAACACACACAACAGACATAAGCTACAGCCCCAGGAGCATGAAGTGGAAGGCGTTTCGTTAACCCACTTTCAAGATCGAAGGTACGGGGGCAATGGGGACAATCCCAAGTGCGGTCCCTATACGTGCCTTCCTTGTGAGTTTCTCGAAGGTGGTTAGCCAAACCCAGTTTAGTGGTGAAACGACGGCCGCATCCGGAAATGGTACATTGAAAGGGGCCAGAACCAGGGTCCGAAGGGGGTAGCCTTTGCCAATAAACATCACGTTCCCTACCACTCTCCGCTATAGGGTGTTCAGCCACTTCGGCAGCAAAAAAGGCAGGCTGGCGCATTTGTTTTGACTGCAGGCGGCGTCTGGGAGGTCGGACAGGAAACGGAGACAGCGCAGGTGGCGAGTCAGCCAGCCGAGCAGTACGAAGAGCAAGGTCCTGAGCAGTGCGCAACACCATTTTAAATAAAGCAAAATCTAAAGCGGAGCCGATAGCCAAGTTCCAGGAGTCCTGTTCACATAGCTTTTCGAGAACACTATCTGGATCAAGAGAAGCCCAATCAGGTCCACACAGTACCTCCGCCTGTTGACCAACGGATTGCCAAGCACTGGTTGATTGGGGAAGCCCTGCTTCCCACGCAAGAAAACAATTGGAAAGCTCATTTACCAAATCAATCGCTTTTTGGGCAGCGGTTAGCTCAGCCTGACGACCCCGGGAAATCCGCGGTAGTGGAGAAGCAAGAATAGCATCGCGTTCGGCCGCGCGGTCAGGCAGGTTCCCTTCACCACGGGGGACTACAGGGGTGTACCGCAAAGCAAGAGCACGCGTCTTAAGCTTCCAATCCCTACCATCGTTCAATTGGGCAAAAGGTAACCAGCCGGTGAGGGGAACACCAATTTTTTGGAGGCCATGAACTAGAGCATCGCGCAAACGCTTCCCCACCTTGTTTCCCAGGCACCCGAGCAGTACCAAGATGAGCGGGCAGGTAGGCAAATAAAGCTTGTTCAGGCAGGCGATCATTGGACATGCGAGCAACATGACCTAACCAGCGCATGCGATTTTGGTGAATGAGGTCCTCGATAGGTGGAACACCTAGAAAAGCTAGTAAGCGGTCGTTTGGGATATGATAGAGCTCTTGCATCCACCGCGTAACCCCACTAAGTACTCTGAGACAAGTAGTGTGAAACACCTGAAGTTTACAACGCATAGAGGAAAGTTGACCGTCCAGGTTTCACTACCATAAAGCAAAACAGAGAGCACACACGCTCGATAGACCCGAATCTTGGTAATCAAAGCAAGTTGAGGAACATGCCAAACAGAAGTCGCAAGTTTCCAAAAAGCTTTTCTTGCCTGATCTAGGCGGTAAAGAATGTCAGGCTCGCAGGTCAAAAAGGAATCAATATGCGAGCCAAGGTATTTGAAGCTGAAAAGCACAGGTTGAGAGTCAACTGAATCACTACACAACGGTCCGGAACGGTGAGTAAGCGTGACAAGCGCCTCGGTCTTAGCAGTAGAAACGGTAAGACCCCATGCCGATAAGTGACGGGAAATGTTCCGGTACGCAGTTTGTAGCTTGGAAAGAGTATCAGCAATTAAAGCCAAGTCGTCCGCAAAGCCTAATTCCTGAAAAGTCCACGCAGTGTGCAACATGTACTTATCCAAATCACATTGTCGTCGAAGGGCGCCATCAACCCATGAAAACCAAGATAAGCGATCGGGGGCAGAGGCAGACCAGGACTCCATGACAGCGCCAAAGTAAATATTAAAGAGCAAGGGGGCGAGACAGCACCCTTGCCCAAGCCCAGTGCACAGTTCAAACGGCTCGGAAAGCAACCCTTCGACGGACACACGCGCAAACTTGCTCGAGTAATAGGATTTGATAAGGCCGAGGAGCTCCGCTGGCACACTTTTGCCTTGAGTACACCCCACAACCCTAACCGAGCAACGGAGTCGTAAGCCTTGACAAGGTCAATAAACAACAAATACAATGGAAGCTTTTTTAACGCAGCTGTTTCCAGGATAAGGCGCAGGGCAAAAATCATATCAGTGGTGCTACGACCCGACCTGAACCCACACTGCCACTCAGGGAGTAAGCCATGTGTTTCGGCATATTCAGAAAGGCGAGACGCAATAATACGGGCGAACAACTTACCCGGCACGGACAACAGGGTAATGCCTCGCCAATTCGCACGCAGGGTCAAGTCGCCTTTCTTGGGGAGCGGGACAATGTAACCAGGGGGCATGAGCCCAGCATTGGAACTGGGACAGTGAAGGCTCCGGTGAGTGCTGGTATGAACTATGAGGGCATGCCGTTTGAAGCTTTGGGACGCGTGTCCAACACTGACCTTTTTGAAGCTGAGGTCAATGGTCGGGAATCCAGTTCTCATTGCCATGGAGGCCCAACTGGTGATGATCCCGGCATTGCAGTGAGCAGAGGACAATTAGATGCATTTGGTCTAAGATGTGAGCCTGATGTGAACTTGCTGTCTCCGCTTCCTTTCAATACCTGGGTCCATCAGTTCCTGAGGCAGGTGCTCTCATCGAAGATAAAGTTTCCTCTTCTTGACAGCCAGCCGCAGCGGCCGTTCCGGTAGCGCTGCAACCGCCTTGTTTTCCATCCCGATGCCCTTTGTGGATGCTTTTCAGGATAGCCTGAACTTGAGCAGTCAGAAGAGGAGGAGAGAACGGGCTGGTCAGAAGCTAGTGCACCTTATGGTGATGGCCTGGAACTATGAGCGTGTCAAATCCCCTGTGTCCATTCTGCAGCTTGTTTGGAGACGGCCAAGTGCTTTGCACAGGGCAGTCTACGCTCGTATCTTGTCATTCCTCAAGGTGTGCGGCCCTCCAGCACATGCCTCGGTTGCTGGATGCGGACGGAAGAAATTCCAATTAGATGCAAGAGCTCGAAAGATGGTGCGTGTCCTGGATGACTTGGCAAGTCCTTGGGGTTCAACCCATCTTCTTTCTATCGCTGTGGAGCGATGGGCGCGGAGGTTCCTGAGGACAATGATGCCCATGAGGAGCCCAGGCCCTACAGACCACTTGACACCTCACGCATCAAGCTCACTGGGAGAGGAGAGTGGATTGTTGAGCCTGATGTGATTGGTTTTGATGTGGTTCCTCCTTCCAGAGTGGCCCCAAATGTGCTGGAGGGAGATGTGGAACAGACATTGAAGCTTTTTCAAGGTGTGGGATGCAAACCACCCGCTGCGCCCGATCGCCGCATCGTTGGGCCTGCGGGAGGATGAACTTTTCCTACACAAGAAGGCCTTGGGCAACTTCAAAAACAGTGAAGCTGATCCCCAAATTAGTGACGGAAGAGGGAGAAACTTTGTTGAGGGAAGGATTGATAATGGTCCTTTTCATGAGATCCCCAATGCAACAACGTTGCTTCAGCTAGACGGCGTAATACATCTCCAAGAATGTCAAACAAAAAGGCTTGAATTGACATGAAATGACGTTCAATCTGGAGGATTGTCGGCAGGTCATCCCACGGCGCTGAAGTCTCCATACCATTGGAGACCTGCCCGAACTGTTCTACACTCATCTACACTCACCACCTCTGCTTCTTGTTCTACACTCCCCGCAGAGGTCGGCCAAAAGAACTCTTCCAATTCGCGAACTTTCCAAAGTTCAGACTCCGAGTTTTGGGGAGAGGGACGCTACTAGTAACAAGTGCATCGCTACTAGGAACAAGTGCCCTACTAGTAGTAACAAGGAAGCTAGTAGAAACAATCTATAAATAGAATTAAATGAGGCTGTTGCAAACAGGCTCGCTTTTGTTGCAAACAGCTCGCAAGATCCACTGCCTCGTTGGTTCTTCATCAGTTGAGAACATATCCCCTTCCTCGGTGGTAAAGACAGGTTCTGGTTCGTCCACTGCGCACATGTCCTGAGCTTGCGGGATCTCTTCCCCAAGTTTGGGAAAGACCGTACCCTTGTTTCTAGTAGCTTCTTGTTACTAGTAGCGATGGCCTCCAACCCACTTGCGATGGCCTCCACCTAATAGCGTCCTAACACCGCTTAGTGAAAGACTTTTAGTGAAAGTCTTTGTATCAGTAAGGAGACCGTTGTCGACCAATCCTTGAGCGTGACGCCTTTGTCCTCGAAGCGAGTCGCTTGATGTCTGGCAAGAGTTTCGCATGGGGCACTTCGCGCTTTGCGCCAGCAAACGGAAGCTAATAGCCCTTTGTGCATCGTGCCCTTTTTGCACCGACTTTGCTCGGTTTGTGCTTTGCCGTTTCGCAGGTGCCCGAGAGAAGGAGCGCGGCATGGACGATGAAGGCAGAATTGGGCGACGGATGTCCTCTCGCGGCTGACGGTCGACGCATATTTGTTTTGGCCAGCCGATATTTCTTTTTCAGGCATGTTTTTTTTATATGTCTTTCCCCCGAAAGACTCGGCCGAAGGGCTCTTCCTAAAGGCACTTGGTCTGTCTAGCTCAGGCTTTGGCACTTGATCAAGTTTTAGCATATGTAAAATCTCGCAAAGGCTTTAGCACTTGTAAGAGTTTTGCTCAGGCTTTAGAACTTGTGAGAGTCTACTTGCAAGAGACTTGACCAAGTTTTAGCATCCGCAAGAGACCTGACCAAGTTTCAGCGTCCGCAAGAGACTTGACCAAGTTTTAACCTCCGCAAGATTTGATCAAGTTTTTGCATTTGCGAGAGACTTGACCAAGTGTTGGTGGCGTTTGCGAAAGGCTTGACCAAGTTTTAGCCCTTGCGAGAGACTTGACCAAGTTTTGTCTTTACATCTCGCTTTCAATTATCTTTACAGCCGGGGCGGACCAAGCGACTGTACGCAAGGAGCAACTCTCTCGTGGGATTCGGCCTGTCGAGTATACCCAAACGTGTAGCGAAATGCGAATTCGACGGGTGCCGGATGAACCATCTCGCAGGATCAAGCAGGATCCAGCCTGTCGTGTGCCCAAGCATTCAGCGAAACGCAAATTTTCTTGTGCGGCGGTGACCCCTCTCGCAGGATCCGGCTCCTCGAGCGCTCAACCGTGTAGCGAAAAGCAAATTAGACCCATGCTCGGGCGACCCTCTTGCAGGATTTCTGCCCATGCTTGCGCGACCCTCTCGTGGCCTCAGAACTGGCAAGCTTATAGTGCAAATGTAGTACGGGAAGCAGCTTGTGTGTGAGGTGCCCTCAGATGCAGTCGCTTTGAAGATTTTGTAGTAGACCTAGGTAGTGCGGCAAGTTGACTTGATCAAGTTGTCTAGCATTTGGTCTGCCTAGCTCAAATTTCAGGCAAATGCTAAAACCGGGTCAAGTCTCTTGCAAGCGCAAAAACAGGGCAGACCAAAAACACAGCCACATCTGAGACCACCTCACACAGAAACTGCTTCCCGTACTGCGTTTGTACTATAAGCTTGCCAATCAAAACTAAGGCTTCAGCGCTTGCGAGAGTTTAGCGCTTGCAAGAGACGTGGTCAAGTTTTAGCATTTGCAAGAGACTTGACCAAGTTTTAGCGTTTGCAAGAGACTTGACCAAGTTTTAGCGTTTGCAAGAGATTGTCAAGAGTCTGAGCATTTGCAAGAGACCTGACCAAATTTCAGCATTTGCGAAAGACCTGACCAAGTTTTGGCGTGTGCGCGAGACTTGACCAAGATTGGTCTGGACAGAGCCTAGCACTTGCAAGAGACTTGACCAAGTTTTAGCCTTTGCCAGAGACTTGACTTTCGCACGGTTTGCTTCAAACTTTCGGGCCTGCAGCGTGTCTAGTTTGCTCAGATGCATGTACAAGAAGACAAGATGGATTCTATTTCTTTGCTACTGGAGGCCATCGCTAGTAGGTTGGAGGCCATTGCTGCTGGGATGGAGGCCATTGGCTACTAGGACGGAGGCCATTGCGACAAGATTATAGGCCATTGCTACTAGGTTGGAGGCCATTGCTACTAGGAAAGGTTGGAGGCCGTTGCTGCTAGGTTGGAGGCCATTGCTACTAGTTGGAGGCCATTGCTACAAGGTTGGAGGCCACTGCTAAGGTTAGAGGCCATTGCTACAAGGTGATAGAAGGTAGGCCATTGCTACTATCTTGGCGTTGTTTGCTACTAGGTTGGGGGCTATGTCACAAACCATTGCTACAAGGTTGGAGGCCATTGCCAGTACATTGTTACTAGGTTCAAGGCAGATTGGAGGCCATTGCTACTAGGTTGGGGCCATTGCTTGTATGGAGGCCATTGCTACTAGGTTGGAGGCCATTGCTACTATCTTGGGGTTGTTTGCTACTAGGTTGGGGGCCATTGCTACTATGTCGGAGGCCATGGCTACAAGGTTGGATGCCATTGCTACAAGGTTGGAGGCCATTGCTGCTAGGTTGGAGCCATTGCTACTAGGATGGAGGCCATTGCCAGTGCATTGTTACTAGGTTGGAGGCAGATTGGAGGCCATTTCTACTAGGTTGGGGCCATTGCTACTAGGTTGGAGGCCATTGCTACTAGGTTATTGCTACTAGGTGGATGCCATTGCTGCCAGGTTGGAGGCCATTCTAGGCTGGAGGCCATTGCTGCCCATTGCTGCTAGGTTGGAGGCCATTGCTACTAGGATGGAGGCCATTGCTAGTATAGGTTGGAGGCATTACTAGTTGCTGCTAGGTTGGAGGCCATTGCTGCTAGGTTGGAGGCCATTGCTACTAGGTTGGAGGCCATGGCTAGTAGGTTGGAGGCCATTGCTGTGTTAGTAGGTTGGAGGCCATTGCTACTAGGTTGGAGGCCATTGCTACTAGGTTGGAGGCAATGCTTTAACTTTTTTGTTTTCCTTTATACTTTTCCTGACGCGAGTTTGACACCCAGGTCAGACCTTGGGCCGAGGAAGGGCAAAAGTGGCAGAAGAGCAGCGCTTGCCTTGGGCGAGCAAAAGAAATAGAAACAACGTGAAGATTTGGAAGTAAATAGAATTGGAAAGAACAAACAAACGTAATAATATGTTAATATGATAACGAAGATTTGAAGGCTCTATGAAGAGCAACAAGAGACACAGACACACACACACACCACGAACGAGCACCAAAATGTTCCTTTAGCCATTTGGCACCCTTGTGGTTCTGTTTGGAATGCTGGAGTTAAGTTTTGGCTTCTGAACACACATGAAAAGAAAGGAATTGTTCAGCTTCTGTCAAGCAGCTTCTTTACGTCCCAGCCTAGCAGCTTCTCCAACGCGCCATAGGGACTGTGTATCTACGGTGTATTTTCCCTAACAATCTAGGGACCAAATCATTAGTGCGAACGCTTCTTCAAGGAAACTTCCCCCGCCGCCCCTGGAAGAAGCGTGAACTATCCTGCGTCCATGCCAGCTACCTACCGACTCCCTAGCTAACCTACCTCACCTCTACTAGCGGCCTACCCCTCTTTTAAAAAGAATCTTTATGATATTTTTGCATTCAGATGCCGCTGACCCGCCGTTGTGCATTTTTGGCGTGCCTCGGCAAGAATGACACGGGACCTCCAACAAAACAACAAAAAACGAGAGCAAAAGGTGTTTTTGCATTGAGAACCAAAACCATGTTTTTTGCAGTGTTTCTTACACGTTTGCTGCCTAAGCGTTGGTGAGTTACGATGTTTGTATTGTTTGAACATCGCAAAACAACTGATCAAACATTGTCTAAAAACACTCCAAAATCAACCCCTGAAGCAGCTCAAGGCAGTAAATTTCTGCGAACAAATGCATATTTAGGGGCGCACGCGCTCCACAGGAGGAACGCCTTGGACAACAGGTTGCGTTTTGCATTCTGGTGCAGAATTTTTGATGCGTTGCCGGCATCGAGCACACCCCTGGAAAGCTAGGCTTAATTAGCTGGTCAAAAAACCGCATCGCCGCAAGGTTTAACGCCCCCGTACCGCCAGCCCCAGGGTTCTTGCGGTAAAAATCCAGAGAGAAGGGTAATACCTCTTTTTGAGTCTTGACTTGAATTGTTTGCGCATGTTTGTAAAAAACGAGTACTAAAGTAAAGAGGTAAACGGCTGTAACAACATGTGCCCACAACATCCCACACATTCTGCAATTTTGGAACGGACCGTTCAACCGACACAGAAAAAGAACCAACGTAAAAGGAACATGTTGAACATGTTGTCTTTTTCAAACAAATATGTTTGGCAACAAGACATGTGTTTTGTGACAAGAGTTGGAAGACTATGATACCGTCTCCATGCTGTCTGATTTTGTTCCCCAACAGCTGGCGTGTCTTTCTGCTCCCGTCCTCGACTGCGCTGATTTCGTGGCGTAGAAACAGACAAACACACCACAGCGCTGTGCCTAACTTGACTTCTGACCCCCCTGCGGACATTTTCTCCATGTGCGAAGCAGGATTGCGTCGCCGGTTAGACCATAGACTTTGTCGTCTGCGCCCAGCCCTGTCTTCTCTTGGCCCCCCGTTTGGCCTGGCGGATGTTTAACGAGACAACCCCAATGCAAACCAAGTGAAGCGAATCTTGTTGTTTCGAGTCTTGTTGAAGCGAGGCAGAAGAAACCCTCGCACATGCTGGACCTGGACACACTTTCATTTTCACGAGGTAGCCTGCTTCTTGACATCGCCAGAGCTTTCGGCTATGCCAGCTAGGAAACCTCGTTTGATGTCTACACGGCTGAAGTGTTACTATAGTGTTTACTGTCAAGGCCAATGTACAACGTGCAAAGAGAAAGGGGAAAAACAAAGAAGAAAGAAACAGATCGAACGTTTGACGGCTTTTATGGGAGAAATGACAGAGAGACAAACAAAAGATAGCCCCGAGCTACAAATCTATCGATCGTGGCAGGTAGCCATTTCATGGCAAACTCCAAGTGCCAGCTGCCAACCGGGTCATTCCGCGTGCAGAAAAAGGCGATCTACATACACGCGCACACTTAGACAATGGTTCATCCAGTAAGATAATCCACGAGGAAATCGACGCTGCAACGGAATGGTGGCTGAGTCCGCGGGAACAGAATGTTTGAACAGTGGCGGTTTCACTTGAGTGCAGAAAACGCTCTGCGGTGACGCGGCTGCGCATCGGCGGGGAAAAGGATTTGTGGGGAGTATCGTGGAGAACAACCATGAAAGCAAACAAAAGCGGTGGAAATTGGAGTCTTGCCATCTGCAGGTACACAGAGCTGATCAGGCTCTGCTTCTCCCTCTTGTCCACAGCTTCGTTGCGTGTGGTAGGACAAGGGGCCACGTGCCCCTGCTTTATGGTAGAAAGGAAAGTGTAAGAGAATCCTCTGGGGACGGAGGGTGACACACACACACACAGCACTCATGAAATGCCTACTGAATCGATTGCGGCTTGCCACATACCTAAGAGTCCGGGTAAATTGAAACCTGAAAAAGAAAAAGAGCGGAGTTCAACCATGTTCAGCATCTCGAAACACAAAATCTCCAAAGGCCAAAGCACGAAGTCGACGAGACATCGATCGGCGAGCGCTTGGCTGCCAAGGGCGAACTGCTGCGATGGCTGCAAAATTGTTCTAGTCAAGAACGGGACCCAGTGGGAAGTGAAAAGTCATCACCAAGCAGGTACGTCATCAGGTGTCCCTGATGATATCCTGGGGTCGTATGAGGAGCTTCGTTGGAGGGAGCCTCATACGTCCTCTCCATCCCCCTGCTGCAAAATAGAAACTACTGCAACGGAAGCCCTATGACTCCAAGGGCGTCAAAAACACTTAGACAAGGTTCATTCAGTGAGAGAATCCACGCAGAAATGAATGCCGGAACGGCGCGATTGCGGAGCGCTCAGAATCGGCTGCAGCGCAGCTGCAAGTCTGCCAGAATTTGGTTTTCGGAGAACCACCATGCAAGCAACAAACAGCGGAGGGCAAACCATTGGAGCCCGAATGTCACATCCGATCAGCAGTGTCCTCTTAGGCAGTGACTGTTGAAGGGATCACTGCCCCCCTGATGAGTGGTACAAAAAGAAAGAGTTGAGCAAAGCCCTTGGGGACAGGGCGTGACGGACGGGTGCCCCTTGGCCAGGTGGTGGGTAGGTATACTGAATTGTGTGGATTCTGGATGCCAGGCCCGAGAGGCACAAGCGTTGGGTGCGAGCTGATGCGGCGTCGCGTATCTTCCACGGTTGGGAGGGTTGTATTGTATGTAGGTGATTGCGCGGGAAGCGAGGTCAATGTTGAACCCAAAGGAGATCGAAATCGTGGACGGACTCAAGCTCCACGCAATCCCCGAAGGTCTCTGGGTGATTGAGGGCTTTTGGTGAGTGACGAAACGGTTGTCTACGTAGCGGTAGTTTGTGAAATGTAGGTGTGTGTGGTTGAGAGGTTTTGTTGTGTAGCTGATGCCAAGCACGCTCAATGAGGGTGATGGCAACGTTGCAGAGGGCCGGTGAATCCAATCCCAGCTCCACGAAGCTGTTGAAAGGTGTGGTTGCAGGCCCGGAAAATAGTGGGGATGTCGCTGACGTGGATAGTTGTTGACGCATGGTGCAGGACCACTTGGTCGCTCATGGGTAAGGTTTGGCGGAAGCCCCATTTCTAGCGGGTGCGCAGGGTGGTGGGGACGGTGGCAAGGAGGTGGTCGCTGTGTTGTCTGGTGTGAGATGAGGCAATGGTCGGAAGAGCGTGGAAGTACTGTGGGTGCAAAAGAGGCGTAGTGGTTGGAGCTTGGTCTGCATGGTGCAGGACCACTTGGTCGCTCAGGTACTCCTGGAGTTGGCAAGCGGGGTTGGTGAAGTTGCTGCAGGCGGTGTTGCCATTGTTGTGGGTTGATGAGCGATGGTGGGTGTGGCCGTGAGTGCGTAGCCATCGCTGCAGTGTGGAAGGTTGTGAAGTATTGCCTGCTCTTCATGTTCGCATCAAGAAAGATGCGAAGGTGTAAGGGAAGGTTGAGGTCGGAAAGAGTGAGGATGTAATGTCCGTCGGTCTGGTGTTGGTCGGGGTCAATCAGTAGCAAGCGCAGGTGCGCGCTCGCAAGGTAAGGTGGTGTCATTTGCGGGTGGAAGGATGAGTTCTCCCAAGTTTCTGTGGTTTTGCAGTTGGCTGCGTAGGGTGCAACGTGCAGCTTCGCGCAGTTTGCGTGTGGGAAGGTGGAAGGGGACGGTATGGGAAATGTATTGGCGCGCCAGGGATTTGAGCCATTGCTGCGTGTTGTAGTTGAAGTTGTTGTCGGCGAGAAAAGGGAGTGTAAGAGGAGCATTGTGACGTGGTGGTGTGAGGTTGCGGTAGAGCATGGCTTTTGTGATGATTTGAAGGGCTTTGGTCCGTCCGGGTTGTTCCCGGTTGGAAGCCTTACGGCGCATGGCGTAGAGCTCCAGGTCGGTGTGATGGCCGCTGCGTAGTTGTTTGGCTGCTTCAAAGGAGCCCTTGGTGTTTTTGGTGCGGTTGCGGAGTAGGGTAAGAGCGTGGTGTTTCGTGGAGGTGAAAAAGGGGGGTTGCTGGATTGTTTGCTGGCGCCTGCGGAGCCGCTGGAATAGTCGGCGGTGGTTGGTGAACCTGGGATAGAGATGTGCACGGTGTTTGGCGAATTGCCATCCTTGGGCTCTGAGCTTGAGATGGTGAGAAATGAAGGGCCAATTGAGAGGTGGCGTCCGTTCATGGATCCATGCTTGGTCGTAGTTGTCGTGGGAAGAGAGTTGGATAGTAGTGAACTCGTCCATAGTGTCGTGTGTATGCCAACTCAGTAGCGTAAAGAGAGTTCTGCTGAATGGGGATGTTGTCTGCGGTTGTGTTCCTGGTGGGAGACGCCGATGGCAGTGGAGCCAATGTAGAAGTGGCCATGTTGGTGATAGGTGCGTTGAGAGAGGTGGAGATTGAATTGGAGCTTGATGTAGACCGAATTTGGCGCAAGAAAGTGGTGGAAGTGGTACGTGTGCGAAAGCTGTAAGTGCCAGTAGCGATCAGGTTTTGCAGGATTTCAACGCAGCTCGGCTTAGCTTGGCCAACGGAAGGCCATATCGGGTAGAGCCTCCTTCAACTGATCTTGCGTACACGCCGACTTCTGGAGGATGCGAATGATGTCCAGGGCTGAGGCTTGTGTGGCCTCGTCGAAAGCAGTGATCCATTTGTTGATGGCTTGGATGGACCAGGCGTCAGGGATGTCGTCTTCTTTGAGGGCAGCGCTGGGAGTGTCAGCTGGGAGGGAGCAGGCGGAGGCGGACGAGCGAGCTGTGAGGGTGAGGCCATGTGAGGCCAATTTAGTGCGTTGTAGTTCGTCATTATTGGCTTGGAGTGCCCATAAGACTGAGCCTTGCGCGCACAGTGAGCGAAACTTGAGTTTGACAAGGGAAGCACGTGATTCAAAAACTATATTCCCACACCTATGTCCACACGACTTTCTTCTGCAGCCGCGGGTGCGTGGGCAGCAAGGTGGTTGGTGAGGCGGTCAACCCAGGGGGCCATGTATGCTAGTGCTTGGGTGGTCTTGTTTGGAATATCGGCGTCCTTGGCGCGGTGGGGCGCCTCTGTAGTGCCGTCAAGTGCGAGCTTTTTGTTGCGGACCTCTTGCAGCAGGTGTGTGACAAATACCGATTCAGCAATGGTCCTGGTGGGAATCAGCCCACGCACAGTATTTGCCGTGGCTTTCGGGTGTGGGCTGTGGTATGCTAGCAACCAGGGTAAACGTCGAAAGTGGGCAGGCCAGCAATGCCAACTTTGCGTGACCATGCTGTGGGTTGGATGTGGCGAAAGAGTTGGTGGTTGGCAATGACGTTGGTGTCCCAATGTGTGTCTGTGGATCGCCAGGTGTCTGGGAATGGTGGTTGTGGGAAAGGGGCTGTTGATTGTGTTGGTGGCGGTGTGCGAAGGAAAGGTGGTGGTAGCGGCTGCTGCTGTCTGGCCAGGGGTGTAAGGATGGGGTTGATGTGATTGTTGTGTGCGAATAGAGCCAATAGTGTTGCAGCAGTCCACCAGGAGATCCGAACCGAGAAGTTTGTTTGTTTGTTTGTTTGTTTGTTTGTTTGTTTGTCTTGACACGTTTTTCTTTTTCTCTTTTGCGCTGCTAGAGCGGAAGAGTCGGTCTCATTCACGAGGATCATAGCTGACAGCTCAGTTGGGGCAGCCAGCCGCTGTTTTCCGCGCAAAATGTCGGAGTGAGCAAACGATGTTGCTGAGGTGGAGACCTACCCTCTCTCATGGGGGGTGAACATCATGTCAATGTTGTCGGCGCGGTTGGTCGTTGCCCATAGGTTTGTACGCAAGGTGCCGCCGTGGTCGGAAGGAGTTGAGATGGCTGGTGAGCGGTGGAAGTTGTCCAAGGTGTGGATGTGGAGCTAGTATTGAGGGAGCGGGAGCGAGCCCGCCATGTTGAGGGTGGAGGGGCTGTCCTGTGGCTGTTGGTGGGCGGGCGGCGAGGAAGTCGGCGGTGTTGGGCGGAAACTTGACTGGGTCCACGCGGTAATGGCCATGGGTGTCCGGCGCGAATTGGAGGAGCCGTCGGCCTTGGTTGAGGTCGCAGCGCGATGGTGCCAAGCGGTTCAGGGCGTTGCGAAATTGGATGTAGAATCGAAAGGAGTTCTGGTCTGTAAAGTGGTTCTGGTTGGGGGGTGGGTCGCGGACAATGGGGTGTGTCAGGATGGCATGAACAAGCCAATCGAGAAGCTTGAGCGCCCACTGAAGTAAAAGAAGCTCCGGCTGCTGTGTGGCCGATGGGGCGTCCATGATGCTGAGTCGAGAAAGGGAATCTTAGAATTGAAATCTGGTACCCACGAAAAGCTGCGGTGTGGGTAGTGAGACACGCTACCGCAAAGTCAAAAGTGAAATGAAATGCACGAACGCAAAAGTACTGAGGCAGTGCATTTCGACAAGGTAAACAAGTGGGTTGTTTAGGTGAGTGGGGTACTGTGAAATCGCCAAAGATGGTGCTTCTGGGGTCGCTGTCCGGTTGTTTATTGCTCAAGCTCGCCGAGAGAGCTTGGTGAAAGAAACTGCCAATCTGCCGGTGTTCCCGAGAACCACATGAAGTATGAGCCAAAAGGCAACGCCTCTTCCGCAGCATCGATGTCTTCAGCGTTTGGGTTGGTGGTCGCCGCTGCCGGCGCGCGGGCTGGGTTCATGGAAGGAGAAAGAAGATTGGTTCCGACATCTGGAGAAGTGGGGGAGGGAGGAAGAGATGGTGGATGGGGTGGGAGGCCCATGAGTTGTTGCAATTCTTGAAGTTCTGCCCAACGGGTTTTGCGTTGCTCAATAGAGAAGCAAATACGGGTTGCTACATAGCGTCAGCTGGGGGCAAAGTTTGGGGTTGGACTTCATGTCTATGAGTTGGACATCTTGGTCAGCTCCATTCATGCCAATTGCGGCCGGCAGCTGCGGGGAAGTGCCGTTTGGGCCAGCGCTTGGGTGGTGGTGTGGGGTCGCTGTCTGTGTGTTCCTGTGAGGGGGACAGCTGTCGTCTACAACGAGGTGGTGGTCTGTCCGATGAGGAGGAGGAGGGTGATGGGGTGACGCTATGGTTGAGGTATCTCGGGAAACGGGTCGGAGGTGGTGGTGGCAATGGCGACCCGACAAAATGCGGATTGACCTGGCGAGTATGTTGCAGAACAAGAATGTGGAGGTGTTGGGTGACGTCAGCTGCTTGTTGCAGGGTGGCGTTGAGTTGTGAGAGAAGAGCGGAGGCCTGACGCAGCGTTTGGGCAATGTCTGTAATCATCTGTTGGCAGAGGGCGGCGGCGGCAGCGGAGTAGCGGCAAGAACGCAAGTCAACCGGCCCATGCATCGAATTAAACGATCGTGCAAATGAATTATATCGAGTCCCAGGATGTATAAAACAGTTGAGTACAGGTCATCAAAGTGAAAGCGAGAGTTGGCGTCTCGAGAACGCCTTGAAACAAACATAAGAAACTCCGCAGGTGAAGAAAGGAACTGGTTGCCAGACACCTTGCTGGGCGGGGAAATTGATGATGTCTGAAAAGTCGTGGGCGATGGCGCTGGTGACGAGGTGGGATTGGCGGTGATGGGGTGTAGAGAGGGAGCTGCTATTGTGATGGGTTCTGGCTGGAGGGTTGGTGCTGTGGATTGCAAGTAGACAGGAAATTGGTGGTGTGGGTATATATTGGGTACACGGGTGTTGAACTGCAGGCATAGTGTGCGACGGGAAAGGTTGTGATGGTGGGTGTGGTGCTGGCATGGCCGGGCAGCAGCAGCTGCTCCGCACGAAAAATGAAATCAGACACATAAATCCCCTGATAAGTTCATGAACAGTCTGAACTGGAAAGAGAGTGGTCAGCAGTTGTGACAGTTGAAAAGTCGAACATGCAAAGTGAAAGTCAAAAAGTTACCGTTGACGTCGAGCATCCATTGGTAAACCCGTGAATTCTTGCCGCAGTGAAGTCAAGTGGTAATCTGTATGGATCAGTGGGTACCGCGAGCCTGGCGGCGCGCTTTGCCAAAAAGTCAGAGAGATAATCCACGAGGGGGCAAGGCCGCCTTAGTTTCGATCACAGCCACATCGAGGTGCCACGCTGTTCCCAAAGTGCTCATTGCTCCTTCTTGAGGCATGTTCCTGGCTGCGGGCGGGACAAGTCTTGTCATTTTGCATGGTGTGTTTTGATGTGGACTGCAAAGCACGCATGCATCTGCGCGGGAAAGCTGAAGAATGCCCTGGGCGGACGACTTGGTAGTCTTGTCGTCGTGCAACTCTAAAGACAACTGTTGCCTTGGCGGTCCAGAGGTTTGACGTGTTCGTGTTCGTGAGAAGTGATTGTTCGAACAAGCCAGAAGACCAGCCTTTGAAGATTGTTCCGTTAACAAAGGCCAGAGAAGCCGTTAAGAGTTGTTCGAACGAGCAGAGAATCAGCAATGGTGGGCAGATCGGACTTTGCTTTGGAAGGCCCAACGCAGCCGGATGTCCTTGAGGCTGCCGCGAATAACAGTAGAGGTTTTCTTCGCCGCCCTCAGCTGGTGAAAGGATGAAGAGAACCGCTGATCTGAGGATCGCTTCGCCTGTGCGCAGTTCGCGCTCGAGAAGTGTCGAAGAAGGAAAAAAGAAGAGTTTGCGAGAACATGTTTTTGAATCCCATGGAAACACCATGAATCAGGAAGCTCCACGGAATGCAGAAGGAAGAGGGGACTTGAGCAACAACGCGAGAAGGAAAGGGTGGAGACGCAAGTCAGTTCTCCCACCCCCGGCGTGTCAGTGGCCAGCAACCCATGGCAGCCACCAGGCACTTGGGGGAGATCGCAAGCTGCGAGTTTTTCTTGCTCGTAGGTGACACGCCCCAGTTCAGTTGAAACACGGTGAGGCGGTGACCAAAGAAGAGAGCAACGACAAAGCCAAGAAGATGAAGAAGGGTTCGGCAGACATGTGCAAGATGTCCAAGACTTGGCTCAGAAGCCGAACGCCTCACTATAAGGGCACAATCGCATCTGTTTTTGCCTCGCAATACGGGTGACAAGGTGCAGATTGTAGAAGACCGTCGCGTTGTCGAGGAAGAGTCACACCATCGCGAGGAGTGTAGGCAGGGTCAGAAGGCGTGTGGCAGCAAGAACAGGGTGACCATTTGCGCGGAGAAGGGTTTCAGAAGAGCGGAAGAGGACGCCAAAAGAAGTGACCTACGATAGGTTGAAAAGGAGTTTGCAGTGAAAAAGTGATGTCTCGTGGCTGTGGCCCTTTTCGAGAGTGCAGAGCTATCCGCCTTGATACGGGAGTGCAAAGTAGGTTGAGAAAGACGCATGGTATGGCAGGCGCCTGCTTTGTGAGCTTCAGGCTCACAGCTGGCCATGTTGTAGATTGAGTGAGTTTCACGGTTTTTGCAGCGCGCTTTTTTGCCCCATGCGTTGCGCGCAGGTTTTGAGACAAGATCAAGCGAGTTGTGGGAAGTACTCTGTCAGCTGAAACTTGAAACAAATTCCTGTTCAGAAAGCCTGGGCACCGTGAATGGGTCATGGCCACGCTATTGGAACCATGGCAACAGGATGACGCCCAAGACGTAAAACGGACATGTGGCCACAGGTTCCAGCAGCGTCCATGAAAAGAGCGCTGAGGCGTACCGTGATGACGACCAGATCCATGACTGTGTGCAGTATCTCGATCAAGGAAGCGGATTGGAAGATGAAATCTTCAGACCAGGGAATCTAGGTGTCCAGTATGAAGACTAAGAAGACGCCTACAGGTAGACGTTGGATCCTCTTGTGAGCTTGCAAGAAGTACAAAGGTTTGCTAGCGCCGAGGGCAGTTAGACCATGAAAATAAAGTAACTATGTCTTCTCTGTGTGGAGTGTGGGGCGTTGGCTTTGTGCTATTCCAAGAAGCGTTGGCAAGGTCACCGCGCCAGCTCGTGGCGCCAGACGCACGGCCGTTATTGCGACCGGCCAAAAATGGCCAAAGAAAAACGTGGCGAAAGTAGAGATGTGGCACGAGTGATTCCATCAAGGCCTGCGTATACTTAAACCAGAAGCATGGACGAGCGTGCCCTGTGGCCCACCTATGGGTTGTATTTAGACACTTGAAAACACTGCAGATGAGGACAGGCAAGTTCTCATCTTGAGTGATGTCGATAAGCTTCGGGATGAACTGAATGAAATCTGAAAGCCTGATGATGAGATATCAACCCCAGGAATCCGCCAACCTACCATTCCACAGACCAGGCTCAAACTCATCGCACTGGTTCTACGGCCCAGCCACATGCCTTGAGATGGCAAAGCGTGGCGGACGTGCTTGTGGTTGACCCTTTCAAGTGTGCGCGCGTATGAATATGCGTTTTCAAGAAATGTGTAAGCAATTTTTGGTTAAACAACTTTTGGCTAAGCTGCTTCTAGCTTGCGGGCGCGTGCTGTGTTTTGTCTGCAAAATTTCGGCAGGGCTACGAGGAAGTGCATGTGAAGCCATTCAAGCACCCAGAGGTCAACCCGGAGGACTTGATTCCTCTGTGAGACCCGCAGACGTTTTGACTCGAGTAAGCGCATTCAAAAACCTGATCACATGGATGTTCCTTTCTCCTTTTTGTTGATACTGTCTGACTGTTTTTCAATTTGTCTGTAATATATTTTGAACTGTGTCTTGTTTGTCGTTTCCTGAGGTCCAAGCTTCCGACATGGTGCCAAGAGGCTTTCCCAGGTGCCACGAAACTCAACACGGTGCAGAGCAAGGCGCAAACTTGAGAGTTCGGCCGCGCAGTCTGCGATTTTTGTTCTTTTGTTCTGATTTTGCTCATGCGTTTGAGTTTCAACCACGATGTCATTTCGCTGTGTCAAACTGCAGGTTTTCAAGACGGCCTTTGAAGAGCACAATGAGAATATGCTGGCCTGGATTCATCAGTTATCGGCCCTTTCTCATTTCCGTGTTTGCTACTAGTAAAATCATGTAAGCTACTCGTAGATCGACGAGTTACCTAGGCTACACTACTCACTACTACCCTTTTTCGACCCGCCTACCCCTTATCCTTCTCCAGCAAGAATTCAATATGAGGAAACCAAAGAGAGAACAACCAAAACTACATTTGCAAAGAACACAGAGAATCAGAGAGAACAAAAAGAAAACCAACAAGGAAAGAACACAACATACACGCCCGCAAAACATTGTAAAACTCATGAGCTGAGCGTTGTTTTCTGCCGTTTGCCAGGTTTGTGCCCCGACCGGCAGCGGCAAGACCAATGTGGCCATGTTGACGATTCTGAATGTGATGAACCAATTCCGATTGAAGGTAAGACGAGAGAAACAAACAGTTAACAAAGAGGAAAACAGAGGTTTGAGTGACGTGACAAGGTTTCTATGAGGGATTTCGTGAAGTTTCTATCTGTTTTTGTATTGTTCAGCTGACTGAACATTGATGAAGAAAGATACAGTTATACAAGTAAACAAACGCTATTGTTACAGGTTGACTTTTTTAGAGTAACTAACAGGCTTCGCCAACCGGCGATGCCCTTGGGGGACTGCGTGTATGAGTAGGCTCTTTGTGCAGCAAAATGTGACGAGCAGCACAGCTTCGTACGCCTGCGCATACACAGGTGTGCGCGTGAGCTCTGAAGTAAATAACTCGGCAACTTCAACTTCAAACACGCGTACACGCATGCACACTTGCACGCGGTGCAGGTGCCCGCCCGCGCGGCTTCTTTGTTTGAATATTTTCAACATTTTCTAGCCTAAAGCTATTTGTGTTTAGGCTAGAAGATGCTCAAAAATATAGCTGTATAACGCGTTTTCCATTACAAAGTCCTGGTATTTGAAGAAAGCATATATAAGCCCAGGTGGTGCTAGAAATGTCGGCTGCAAACCGACCTTGTGAACATCGCCAGGACGTATGTAATTACCCAGAAGTGTGACATTGGAGGGCTGCAGGGCTTGCAGCAAATGGTTAGCATTCGTGAAGGACAATGAGATCAACCAATGGAAATTGGAAGTTGAAGGTTCCATGATCATTATCATTGGTTTTGCAGTGATGACCTTTGCAGTGTGGAGGCTTTACAAACATTTTGAGAACCGCTATACAAATATGTTTTTGATGGAAACTCTCGGCGACAGAGTGGATGCAGCAGAACTCAGGATGGATGGTGGAGATTGAGCGCATGATTGACCAGAAAGAGGGAGATGAAAGAAGGATAGACAAACTGGTAGATTATTCCAGGAGAATTCATAGTGGGTTGATTCTCCATGGAGGCTTTGTAGGACAAGAAGCACTAGATACCCTCGCAATAATCAGCTATGACATGGTTGGAGAGATAAACGCAGGGAACTTCTTAGCTAGAAGGAGCTTGGAGACATGAGATCAATGGAAGGGCAAAATCTTGGTCATCAGGTGATGTTGAGAGCAGCCTTACAAGGAGCAGTTCCTACAGAAGGACCATTGTCGAGGAGATTCCTGCCAGGAAATAGAGAACAGATGAGCAAAGTGGAAAAAGAACAGGCAATACAGCTCTGTGGTCGACTTGAGGAGAAGATCGAGATACTGAGAGAAAGACATTGGAATCTACTAGGAAGAGGAGAAGAGGATGGAGCAGACGCAGTTGCACATGAAAAGGACAGGTATGAGAGGTTGCTAGAATACATGGAGATGAAAAGAGGCCACCCAGAAAGGATACCGCCAGACACCTCTAGGAACCCCTTCTTGAGAGGATGAATCAATCGACAGAAGAATGATATGGATAGAGGACGATGGCGGCAGAGTGAGGTAAAATAGCAAAATTTGAGAGCTCACCCTACTGAGACGGAGTGTGAAGAAGTTTCAATGTAGATCACATGTAGCGTGTACATCATGTTCACTAGCTTTTCACTTGACCGCAGCTCTTTGTGCGTTCAGAGAAAAGTTCGCAAAATTTCTAATTTTGTTTTCGCGAAGACTCTTGCAGCCCGTTGCGATACCGTTCCAAAAGCAGGACGTACAAGCGGCAGCAAACGGGTCTCAAAAGGGACCAAACGGGGATGAAACTGCTTGATATTTTTTGCATTTTTAAAAAACTACGCCAGAAAGACTTGAACAAATTAATGTCAGAGATGTGAGACTGAATATGTTTGTCTCGACGTTCACGTCTCGGTTCCTTCGGGTGTCACAGGATGGTTCCTTCGACTTGGCCGGCTTCAAAATCGTCTACGTCGCACCTATGAAGGCGGAGAGAACTTTTGGCGAAGGAAGAACAAAAAACAATATTTTTTTAAGATTGTTTTTTTGGGGAGGGTAGGCCGGTAGAAGTGAGGTAGGTAGGTAGCTAGGTAGCTAGTAGAAACTAGGTGGCTAGCAGCTTAAGTAGCAACAAGCATGGACGCAGGATCCCTCATGCACTATCCCAGAATTTGAGGGAAACTTAATTGAGTAGCCAAGTAGCTAGCTAAGCTTAAGAAACTACTACGTATTGGACGCAGGTAAGGACAGGCTTCTTTAATTCAAGGAAACTCCCACAGGGAGAGCTTCCTGAGCGAAGAAGCCTTCGCTGGATTGACTTGGTTCAATAGTCAATTGTTGGGGAACCTTAGCTTTAAGTTGCTGGGACACTGACAACGTTTTTTTAAAATTCATTCGCCCCTACCTAGTCCCACGCTCCCACAAGTTGCTTCCACATTGTCGCGCTTCAACCACCGTGAGCGCATCCCAAGACCCCGTGGGATATTTCTTTAAAGATCGCCTTTTGCCAAGAGAAAACCATTTAGGCTGAAAACCTTTTAGGTTGGAGGCCATCGCTACAAGGTTGGAGGCCATCGCTAGCCATCGCTAGTAGGTTGGAAGCCACCGCCGTTAGGTTGGAGGCCATTGCTATAGTACGTTGAACGCCGCCGCCATTAGGTTGGAGGCCATCGCTGATGGGTTGGAAGCCATCGCTAGTAGGTTGGAAGCCATTGCTATTATCGCTATTAGGTTGGAGGCCAGTGCTACTATAATTGCGATGGCCTCCACCTATAAAAGATGCCCTCAACCTAACAGCGCTGGCCTCCAAAATAGCGATGGCCTCCAACCTAATAGCGATGGCCTCAAGCCCAATAGCTATGGCCTCCAACCCACCTCCACCTATAGCGAGGCCCTCCAACCTAATAGCGATTCCAACCTAATAGCGATAGCCTCCAACCCAATTGGTTGGAGGCCATGGCTATTAGGTGGAGGCCATCGCTGTTATTGGGTTGGTTGGACGCCGTCGCTACTAGGTTAACGGCGCAGTTAGCTGGAGGCCATTGCTATTAGGTTGAAAGCTTTTCGAGTGGAGTTGGATGTCATGTGCTCTTAGGTTGGAGGCCATCGCCATTAGGTTGGAGGCCATTGCTGATAGGCGTGAGGCCATCGCTAGAAACAACCTCTCTTAGGAACGGGCTGGCCATAGCTGCCGTGCCTTTTGACTGGGCCTTGTCCCGGGCGCCGTGTGTCCGGCCTGGATGTCCCGCCGAGCGCCCCTCGGCCTGTTTTTCTCTTCTTCCTTCTTTTTCGAATTGAGCGCAGTAGGTGGAGGCCATCGCTACTAGGACGCGTTTCAGGTTTGAGGCGGTTGCCATCGCTTTGCCCGGAGGCCTTGGTGCAGGAGGTGGTCCAGAGTTTCACCCAGCGCTTGGAGAAAGCGTATGGAGTAGCTTAAGCTCAACAGAACAAACTCGTTTGCAAGCGTGGAGAGAGCTTTGTTTGCGCAACTCGTTTCCATGTTTGTTTTACCGCCTTTGTGAAGTTTCGTTGTTGAGGTCACGATTCGGGAGCTCAGCGGTGACGTGAACCTCACAAAAGCTCAGATTGACGAGACGCAGATCATTGTCACGACGCCCGAAAAGTGGAACTCTGAGAGCTTGAGGTTTTCCGAGACAAAGAACGTCTTTTTATGTTTGAGGGTAGGCGGAGGTAGAAGTGAGGTAGGAGGTAGTAGCTAACGGTTGCTAGTAGCTGAGAAGAGGCAGCTAGTAGCTTCAAGGAAGCTCCCTGCCGCCTAAATGCGGCGGGGGGGGGCTTCCTTGAACTTTTGCAGAGTTTGTGGAGGTTTGATTCTGCAAACTGAAGGTGATGTTCTCGTTCAAATTCACTCTACTCATGCACTTTCCAAGAGGTTCAAGGGTCACGCCTACAAGGGGCGAACCTGTAGGCCCTGATTTGCCGCGAAGTGACCGCGGCAGATCCTCTTATAGCCCGCCATGGTGGATTTGCGACCAAGACTGTCATCCATACGATCATTGCTGGAAGAGTTTGATTTGAGCAAACACATTTAACCTTCTGGTTCTGTGTGCAATGTTGCCCTTGGCCATGTGATCCCCCGGAAGATAGTTGGAAGCCTGTTCAATCACGAGGATTTTTGGATTGCTACTGAAATGGGGCGAGCTGATGAATCGAACTGGAGTTTTGAACAGGTGGCATTTTGCGCCAAAAGGGACATTGATGCCCTTGGAGGCCACAGCTTCTATCTACATGCCTTTCGAGTTTCAACAGATGGTGCAAGCATCCTCGAAGAAACCGAATCTTCGTTCATCGTGCCCTGGGATCAGGACTGCTACAGGAGTTTGCTGGGGCCTATATGGAGGATGGCATCGCGCAAATCCTCACTCAGCTGGTCCTTTGCCCTTGAGACCAAGCTAGACAGAGGAATCATGTATGCCTTGATTCATCAAACTTTGCTGGTGGGAAATTCCAATGATGATTCGACTCCTGATTTCCTGATACAGCGTTCCGAAGAGGTCACGCTGGCCTTTGACCGGACTAGCCATAAATGGAGGCAAGCTGTAGCCAGTATCCGACCAGAACGTTCGAGGAATCTTTCGGCGCCGTGCAAGTCTTGGTCTTCTTCGGGACTCCTTCAAGTCAAGGTCTTGCATCGCCAGACGGCCACATCTTTGCAGAAGCCATTGGATAAGCCAGATATATACAAATGGAAAATGTGGCCTGCGTCACAAAGCATGAAGACTTTACAGTTCTCAAGCAGCTTTTCAAGTGGGCTGGATTTCGTTTAATTCATGACTCAGTTGTGGACGCTGCCGATCAGATTCCCACCAAGAGACAAAGGTGGTTGGCGCTTTTGATTGCAGAAGAAGTCATGATCACTCCTAATGAGTGGCAATCATGGTCAATTGCTCCGAAGCCGTCGATCCAACAGGCTGACATCCTGATGGCTGAAGAAAAGATGAGGGGCGTCCGGAGCTTTTTTCTGCCCGTACTATGACTCCATGCGCGCGCCAGGCCCGATTCGATTTTGGTTGAACAAGGATATCAGAGAATATCGCCTGCCTGCATTGCGCCAGCAAATGCCTACGGTAATGGCGCAATACGGTCGTCGACGTGAATTGCCTCCGCCTTTGATAGGTTCCAAAAGTGTTCAAGGGTCCTTTGCACCATACAAGGATGTTTTCCGCTTCTTGGAGCCCTTCAGAACTGCTTCTGGCCCATGGTGTGATGAAGACATCGTTTTTGTTGAAGCCTGCCACCGCAGCATGGTCAGTAGGTGATGCCATTGCGCTCCCACATGCCATTCTATGCCATTGGAACACACAGATCAGATCATTCACATGGATCCTGATTGTGTCCTGCCACTTGCTCAGGTCACGCAGTCTTTCCACGCCAACAAACTTCGACTCAGATGACGTTGGCTGGTTTGTTGGAGACTCCAACATGATCCGCGCGATTCGTCAACGTGTCACATCATTGGAAAGCAGCTTGTCACAACGCGTCCATGTTGTTGCGCTCTGGCGAAAAGGTGTGTTTTTCCATCCTAGACTGGGCGTGAGAAATTTTGGCCATTATGTAGATCTTAAAGGATCCAAAGATTCGTCGATGGACCATGCTCTGTGGGAAGCATTTCAATAGAACAGGGAAGAAGGTAAACTTGAAAGATTCCAAGATTTGTCATTGGTTGAAATTCTGCCGTTCAGTGTTGTCGACTCAGTCCATGAACACCAGCTGTTGGAGTCGTTTTGGAAGCTGAACGCAAAATCAAAAAGAGTCAAACTCGACCCAAACGGTTCGCAATCAATCAAGGTTTCGGAAACAGAGATCGACTCAGAAGATTGTTCACCTGCGTCGCCGCTCAGTCCTGCGTCGAGGGCCTCTCGAACCCATAAAGCCAAGGTGACATGGTTTACTTTCGATTGGCTATGGATGGCGGGCTACCTCCTTACTGGATTGGCCCAAGAGTAAGTTTTGGAACGGGAATGTTCTGCCCAAGGACGCTAGCAATTGTACCGCTGGAATCCATCACCGTGGCCCCAGGTCATCGGGGTTGGCCTTGATCTTCAGGAACTTGAGGAACTCCTCCGCCAGCTTCTCTGTGAAAACTCCACTTGCACTGCCGCCAAGTGCAGACATCAGCTCAGACTTCGACTGTGTGAGTCCTCACACTCCTTCACTTCAGACTTGGTCTTCTTCCTCCGCTTTGGGGCTGAAGACTCGGCAGTGCTTTCTTCCTTGACAGGCTCAGGCTCTTCTGCAGCCAACATCTCTTTCTCCCAATCCGACTTGGCCTTTGCACCTTTGTCCTTCTTCTTTCCCTTCTGCTTCAGCTCAGGGGATGACTTCACCTTAGCCATGGCCGTGGCCTTTGGCTGTTTCTTGCTGTTCTTTTCCACCTCCTTTGTGGTTTTTTGTCTCTCCATCGCCCTTCTTCTCATGTTTCTTGCTTTTAATTTTCCACCTCCTTTGTCTCCTCTGTCTTTCCATCGCCCTCCTTCTCATGTTTCTTCTTCTCAGCTTTCGCTTTCCCCTTCGCCTTGGCCTTGGCGGCCGATGCCTTGGCCTTAGCGGTCGGCTTGTCCGGAGTGGTCTTGCGAGCATCTTTGGTCTTTGGGCTCGGTGTGTCCTTACAGACTGCACCACGAGCAACAACCATGGAATCAGGTGAAGACAAATAACCTCACCAAAGAAAAACTTCAACAACATGACTGCCAGGAATCCATGCTAGCTGCGGGCGCTCAGGCGCTCCAAAATGAGCTGCTCGAAATCACGGTCAAGAGTGGGTGTTTTGGTGGCGCATGAGGTCACATCCAAGCCGAAGGGGCCGGGCAAGTGTCCCCTAGCGGGGGCATCCTTGGTGTGGAGGGCGTGGCGGGGCATGGGTACCGAGAAGATGAATTTGGATCGACCGCAAGGCTGTAGACCTTTCACAGACAAGGGTTGTTGTCGCTGTCTCCGTTGTTGTTGTTGTTGCTGCTGCGAAGTTGGCCTAGGTTGCGCACGCTGGACTGGTTTTTGCTGCAGGGCAAGGGGGCATGGGGAGCAAGAGCGACCAAGTGCCAATAATGCGCTGCAACGAAGCGCTGTAAAGACGTGTGGGCGCAGGGCACGGGGGCATGTTTTGCCTGTTGGGTCGGGAAGAGGTTGGCGTGGTACGAGTGGGTTTTTGGGGAGATGACTTGCGCCCGCGGGCTGCAGCGCCCGCCTCGCGCGGGAAAAGGTCGGTGATGGAGGCCTATCAGCTGACTAAAGTCGAAATCTGCGCGTCATATTCGTATGTCGTCGTGTTTGTGATTGATCGCGATAAGAACTCCTTTTTTTGACCGTCTCATGTTGGTAGGGAGTCCTGCCACAGGCAGTTCGTCAGGCAAATCCGAACGCGCCGCGTGCAGCGAATTTCTCGACTGCCGCAGTGTGCCACACATTACATTTCACTTGTGACCTTTCCTACGCTCAAAGATTGCTGCTCTATTTGTGCTTTCTGAAGTTCATTCTCTGGCACACGCAGCCAAGGGTAGATGGCGAAAATCAAGCCCAACGAGGCAGCTCGGAAGCGCCCACTCATGGAAAAGCCCGAGTGAGTAACGCGCGCGACAAAGTTCACCAACAACACCACCAGCAACAGCAACAACAACGGCTGCGGCGACCGCAACAGCCACAGCGGCGACGACAGCAACGCTGCCAATAAAGCGCTTTTGCCACCTTCAACCCCGAACATAGCTACTTGGGTGTGCCTTTTGAGTTGCGGCGCTTGCAACTAACTTGTTTGGAAGTTGTAGAACTTAAGAAAACAACAAAATAACTTCAAAGTAAGTTCGAAATAACTTCCAATAACTTCAATTCTTTTGAAAACCCAAGAAACCAGATTGACTATCTTCAATGTTTTTTCAAAAATCATTGCCGCTAGCTGAGACCAACCTGCTCAGTGCAAAGCGGTGAACACCGCACTTTCACGCAACAACCTGGTGTAAACCCAGCGGTGAACACTGCGCTTTCATGTTACAACATGATGTAAACCAGCGGTGAACACCACACTTTCATGTAACAACATGATGTAGACCAGCGTTGAGCACCGCATTTTCACGCAACAACCTGAATAAAACAAGCGGTGAGAACAGAACCCCGTAGGCATCTCCTTGTTTCTGTCACGCGCTATCGGAAAAGGTAGATTTGGCCATCGTCTGCGCGCGCGAAAGAGACAGTGACCATGTGCCTTACAATCTCGACAGGAATCAAGACTGCACGTTCCCCATCTCCCCACAAAATTTAAACTGCGCCATGCTGCGACTCCTTTTGTTAGTCCGTCCCTGCTTGAGTCCCTGAAAAGAGCTCAATGGAAAACTGAAAAATAACACCTGGAAACTTTGAAGACACGGGGAGGGTGGGCGGGGATGTGTGGTATACGGGTCGTATATACGGACGGTATACGGCGGTATGCGGCTGGGATCCCGGCATGGTATACGGATGGTATACGGACGGTATACGGTGGTATACGGTTGGCTTCCTGTAATTTGCTGATTTTTGTGGTCAAAAAGGTGCGAGTGTTACAGGGCTGGGGGACCTGCATCACCAGCACCTTCGGTGTAACTTGAAAAAAGTGAATTTGACATGCCACAATGTTTTCAAGTTTGCTTTGCATGTCCTTTCTAAAGGCATCGGCAACCTTGCAGAACTACTTTATAATCTCCTTCTTGAAAACGCAGAGCCAGGCCACCCCAAAATTTGAAGAGTGAGAAATACAAATTTGTTCAAAAGTGAGATTTACCTTTACCGTGTGCATCACTGGCTTGGCTGCTATAGGCCATGTCTTCAAGCTTGAGCCGGTGCTCTGAAGAAACACGCCCGGGCAGGCTGTCTATTATTCACTAGTACACACTCCTTTATGGCGATGTGGTGAAATGAAATCTGACGCAGAAACCTGAATGTGAACATTTCCTTTCATCCTGAAGCGGTGAAAACCGCAATGAAAATGGCAAGCCAAAAAAGTGAACTGAGAAGGTTGGTTCAGCGGCGCAACTTTTGCCTATCAACCAAACAGAAAACCAACAAGCTTTTGAAAAAAAAATAAATAAGTTCAAAATAACTTCCATCAAATTCCTAAGTAATTTGTAACTTCCCGCAGAAGTCTTCAGAAGTTGCACTACTTTTAGTCTGGTTAGACAGGTTCTGAGCAACATATTGAATTTGCAAGTAAGTTACAACCCACTTTTAAGTCCTCCTACTCCAAAGCACACCCAAGTATAGATGCACTTTCCAGCAGCTCACAGGGCAGAAACGTTTCAATTAGCGTCAAGCAGCGATGCCTCTGCGTGCGCCACGCGCGCGTCACCGCGCTACAATGTTTTAGACGCCGCTGTTGTCCATGTAGCCCTGGATCGCCGAAAGTACCGGGTGATACTTGTCAGTGGGCCCTGATCAGCCAGACAATTTTCTGGCGGAGGGAGCGTGGTCTGGACTGCGACGCAGGATGGTGGCGGATTGCTTCACCAACTTGATGAAACCAACCCTGTTGGTACGTGCTCTGGAGCACAGTATCACCCCGCTTGAACTCCAGCGCCAATCGCCGATCGAGACCACAGGGACTGAGCAGAGGCATTTGGACAACGGTCTCCGAGCCCGTGTTCGTAGCAGGTCTGTAAAGTTTCTTCCGCCGCTTCACACCTGGTAGAGCTGGTTGCGTGTAAATTCACGCTGTTCATAAATGTTCTTGAGTGTATAGGCGAGACATCAATAGAAAACGGCTATGGTGTCTGCTGCCGCTTGGCTCAACGAAAACCCTTTTGAGCTTTGCCTGTGGAGCCGCAGGGAAAAGACTTTCGCGGATAGTTTTGTTTCATTTAGTTTATACTCGAAAGCTTAAGACTCCCTTGGAGGAAGAGAGATGCCCAATTACTGCCCCGATATCAGCGCAATCAAGCCCAAAACCTGAGAATGTTCCACGTGTGCCGATTTCCGGAGGGCGAAGCCATTGCCAGAGCACTTGCATTGTGGTCAGGCAAGAACGCCCGGCAAGGTGGTTGACACGGTTTTTTGTTGCGCACTTTGCGAAACATTTTGGTTTTCGTTGTGTTTGCTGATGCAAAACCACCGCGCCATAGACAAGATTGCGCAAAGACCGGGGTTAGACAGTTAGTTGTAGTCCCACTGTTTGCGTATGTCTGCACTTGCAATGGCTGAGGTGGGATATCATAACTCGGAAGGCAGGTGACCAACGCCAGGGCCCCAGGACGTTCAGACCCAAGAGAGACCACAATCTGATAGTTGACGCAGTGCATGGTCCCAACAGTTCCGAAAGACACCGACAGCTGGCCGCGCGCCTCAACCGTATTGCGGCGTTGTCCCTCTTCTTGTCCTCCTGCTGTCCTCTGGGCTCGCAAAGCCTGTGTCTTCCTCTTGTTTTCTTGCTGCCCTCCTTCTCTCATTGCGCCGCGCTTATGTCCGTCCGCTGTCCTGTTTGTCCGCGTTGTTTGCCTTTTTATCGCCGCCTTATCCCGGCCTTATCCGCTGCTTGGCCACACCGCTTTAACTTGTTTTGAAATTGATATAACTTTTCGCATTTTCTCGTAAGTTTTCCTTGTGTTGCCTCCCTTGCGCCGCTGGGCGCACTCATGACCCTTTGTCCTGGTGTCCTTCTTTTGTCCTCTGGCTGTGCTGGCAAGCCCTGTGTCGTCCTCCTGCTGTCGCTTGCGAACCATGTGTCCTTCTCTTGTCATCCTGCTGGGTATTGTGTTGTCTTCCTGGCATCCTCCTTGGCCGGCCAAGTTGTGGCGTCGTTGGCCGCGCTGTGTTGTGAGCGCTTGTCCCAGGCCTTGTCCGGGTGTGTTCTGCTGCTTGCCCGCGTTGTCGGCCCCAGCCAATTCCTGCTTGGCCACGCTGCTTTCTCTTTCTCCACCGTCTGCGTGGCTATGAACGCAACAGAAATACAGTGTCTGATATCATCCTCGGATTTTATCACAACATAAACGCCACCGTGTTTGCTCATGTGACCTCGGGAATCAGGAACTGGTGTTTTCTAATTATTTTTTTTTGGTATGCACGCCGTTCCCAATACAGGCGATACCACCAACTTTGATTCCGAAAACTAATTCTGAAACTTTTTGCAGTCTATGCTGGTGTACTTTTGACACCATTTTTTGGCCCACATGTTAATTTTGTTTTTGTCTTTGGAACCCATGTGTTTTGGTTTCTTTTTTATCGTTTTGTCGAAGTGCAGCGGCTGTCGTCCTTCGAGGTGCATACACACAGTTGGTTCGTTTGGTCATCATCGATGAGCCCGGACCTCAAACCGAAGACTGAGAGACGCGCCGAAAAACGGATGGAGCTCCGGACCAAATGACAAATGAAAACAACATGTTAAAGCCTGATATCTAGGAACCAAATGATTAGTGCGAGCGCTTCTTCAACAAGTTCCGCCCTCAAAGCTCCGCTGCTCCCGCGAAGGAACGTGAGCCATTCTGCGCCCTAGCTGGAGCGTGGGGTACCTTCTTGAAAAACGGCTAAAAAAACAACACCAGAAGCACGGAGGACACTCATCCCGGCCGCGGGCGCCCCGCTTCTGTAGCAGGGTCGGGGAGCTGGTAGAAGGACAGCAGGCTGGACAAGAGCGCGCGTTGCACCATCAAGCGCTACTATCCAAAGGTAGCCAGCGTTATAGGAGGACCGCTGATGAGAGCCTGAGACTGATTTCAGCAGCTTTCGAGCGCCTCAGGCACACCTAAACTTAATAGAAAAGATAAGAACAGAAACAGTAGAAAGATTGAAAACCTCGGTTCCCGGCAGTTTTCGGTCCGACCAAGGATCCATTTGCTGCATGACAGCCGTGGCCCTGTCCTCGAATCAATCGTGGCCCGCACCATCCGCCAAATCGAGACAACTCAGGTGAGAAGAAAACAAGAAAGACAGTGAATAACTCGTTTTGCGGAGAAAAAACATAGAATGTTTCTGTACCGATGGAAAAGCAATGTTTCAAAACCTGCTCTCAGCCAGGAACACATCCGTTTGGTGGGTCTTTCGGCCACGCTGCCGAACTACGAGGACGTGGCCGTGTTCCTCCGGGTCTGGCCGCATGGATTCGCCATGGATGCGGCGCACACGGAAAAGAAGGAAAAAATACACATCATGTTCATTGTTTGTGCAATTTAGTGCAATTGCATTTTAAACTTTGTGGGAACACTCGCATCACATTTGGACATATATGATAGACCATAACCCAATTGATTGCACCTGGAGCCAGGTTAATCCAGAGAAGGGGCTGCACTATTTCGGCAATCATTTCCGGCCAGTGCCATTGGAGCAGACCTACATTGGCGTCTCAGCAGAGCTCAAGCAACAATGGTGACGAAACCTTCATCCTTCGTGTTTCGTTCCTACCAGCAACTAGTACTAGTAAGCTACTAGAGACTACTAGTACTAGTCGCGTTGTTTCTTGGTTTGAGGCGTCACCGACAAGAAAGCGATCAAACGCTTTAATACCATGAACGAGGCGCCCTTTCTTTGGGGGAGGGTAGGCTGTAGGATGAGCTTAAGTAAGCAACTAGTGGCTAAAGCAGCAAGGAAACTACTAGGTTTGGACGCAGAAAGGCTCAGGTTTCTTCAAGGAAACTCCCTCCTGGAGGAAAGGGGGAGCTTCCTTGAAGGTTCCGAGCTGTAACAAACAATGATTACTAGTAGCGTCCTTGTTACTACTAGTAAGGCACTTGTTATTAGAAGCGATGCAATTGTTCCTAGTAGCTTATTGTTTCTAATCTGTCTCTTAGATTTTGAACATTCACTTGTTGACATCATTCGGGTCTTTGACAAGACAGGTTTGCTACGAAAAGCTCATGGAGAACGCGGGCAAAAATCAGGCTATGAAGTGCAATGTGCACCAACTTGGACAGTTGACATCTGCAGGTACTGATTTTTGTTCACTCCAGAAAAGAGACGGTGAAGACGGCTGTGAGCTTACAGCTATCATTGGGGCCACAAGTACGGCATATGTGGTCATTCGTTTTGAATCGCTAGTTGAATGGCTCATGAGTCACGAGGCGCAAACGCTGCGTGATTTGGCAATGCAAAACGATGCTCGGCAGCAACTTCCACAGCCAGCCAATGTTTTGCACACAACATCATAAATCATCGCGTGCAATGTATTGTCGATGCCCGCACCGTATTTTTCGAGGACACACTGGCAAAGTTCTTGCAAGAAGATTCAGCTTCAAGAGAAATCTTGCAAACGGAGGCAACACGGCGGTTTTCTTTTTTATAAATCAGTATCTTCTTGGACATCGTGTTTTCTTAGACAGTTTTAACACCATTTTTTTTTTGAAAGTTTGAAAGGACGCTACTAGTAACAAGGGCATCGCTTCTAGTAACAAGTGCCTTACTTGTAGTAACAAGGACGCTATTATGTTTGACGATGCTTCGCAGCTTTGCAGGCTCAAGAGATGAAGACGCCTGAGGCGCACGCGGTTGGAATCGAGAGGGAACAAGATGGAAAGCCGGAAAAGACAACATAGAGACAACATATATATATATATTTACTATATCATAGTTATGGAAAATAAAAGAAACATATCATAGTTATTTCTCACCACATACATAGTTATATCATAGTTGTATATATTTATATTGTATCATAGTTGTATCATGATAATAGTTCCTTTGTATCTCCAGACCAGTCAGTCTGAGGGTTACAGCCACAGATGCAGAGCATTTGACAGGATCTGTCATTCTTGGCATTCTCAATCCATGTATCTAACATGTGATGTTTTAAAATCTGTTTCTTTGGTGTGTGTGTGTGTGTCACACCCTGGTTCTAAGGGTTTTCCATGTTCCTACCTTCTTTTTCACCGAAGCAGGGGGATGGAGAGGACATGTGAGGCTCCATCCAACGAAGCTCCTCACATGATCCTAGGATATCGGCAAGGACGCTTGCCGACGTACCTGCAATCAACTGTTGCTCACGCTGTTCCACTCTCGGTTTGTTTCATGGTGGTTTCACACGATACCTTCCCCACAAACAGGTTTTCCCACTGCAGCTTTCAGCCGCTTGTGTATTGCAGCCAGCAGAGCGAGTGAAACAATGTTTAACAGTTCAAATCACCGGACCCATTCGCCTTTCCGTTCCCTCACCTTCCTTCCCAGCGTGGCAATTGAGTCTAACTGAAAACCAATGTCAGAGTGTGTGTCCAGCCCTTGGATTCAGAGGGAGCCTTCTGGCTTTCATTGCGAATCTTGACGTTGCCCGAGCCTCTCACCTTTATTGGAGACTGCGCATTTGCAGACTGCAGCTCATGGACAACTTTTGACTTTGCAGACACCATCTCTTCGGTTTTGACGGCTAGCCCCCAATTTTTTGATGCCGCACCAGAAAGATGAAACCAGTGCCACCTCGAGCATGGGCGACACAGTGCAGCAAGTCGGCGTCTCTAAAATATTTCCATGGATGCAAAAGTGCGGTCTGTTTTCTTGAGCCAACCATGTTCAACAGCCGGTCAGCAGTTGTGTCGTGTAGTATACTGTAGTACACTTTCTTGATTTGTGTGTGTCATCCGCAGGGGCTCCATGCTGCTTGCCACGTGCCCGCGTGGTTAGCGGTTAGGTGAGAACCTTAGGTAGCCCTTGAATGTGCGGGGTGCTGCCGTGGATATGGTTTTTCGGTGGCCTTTTTTCGAGTGCGACATCTGGAGCTGAAGGAGCCTGGTTGGCACCGTGGTCTACGGCGCCTCAGGCAGAGAGCCAGGCCCTTTCTCCGGCGGCTTGGCGTCAGAGCTGTGGGCAGGCGCACAAGGCTTCGTGCGCAGAAAGCGGTGGAGCTGCTGACCGCCCATCACGGCTCTCATTGCCCGGCCGCAATGAGTTTGCAGAACCAGAAGTGGGAATGCAGACACTGCAATGTCGTCATGACATACATGCAGGTGCGTTGCACCAAGTGCCATGGTTGGTGGGAACAATGCAACCGTGCCAAGTCGCGTTCTCAGTCGCAGAGAAAAAGGAGGGCCAGCAAAGGCCAGAACAATGCCAAAAAGGACGATGCCAAGCCATCCGAATCCCCAGGATCTATGTTGCCTTCTTTTATGAAGTGGGATGGACTGGGACAACCATGGCAGAAGTCAACGCCAGACGGAAGGCTGGCAAAGATCCAGGCGGAGGAGAATCTCGAACTCCCCCCGCCGCCGCAATTGCCGCCGCCTCCCAAGCCGGCCGACGAGCTGCAGGAGGTGGCGCCGGAGGTCAGAGCTCACATCGAAAGCTTGCAGAAGAGCATGGGATCAGCATTCGCGCCGAAATTGGAGCAGGATATTGTGGCCGCCACGAGCACTTCCATGGAACACCGAACCCCCAACCATAGCGACGATGCCTTGCGCGCTTTTGGTCTCACGCGGAGCATTTGGACACATCGCTGTAGAGCTCAATGAGGTTCATGTTCCGCTCGTGGATTTGATCACAGTCCTCCAGTTCATCAATCGACTGCGTGTAACCGAGCTACTGTCACTTCCAAGAGCGCAAGAGCGTTATAATTCTTGCTCTTGGTGTCGATGAATGGGCCAACGATGGCGTCTTGCTGCCACCACTCCACATACGGCCGGATGGGCCACCACGTCCACCTTGGCCTTATCCGAAGCATGGTATATAGTAGCCCAACCCAGCGCAGCGTCGCGGCCCGCCGATCTGCTCCGCAACACTGAAATTGGGCAACCGAAACGGTCATGAAGCGCAGCCTCGACGCAACCTGGACACTGTTCTGCACGGTGGTCCGCCAATGATCGCCGCCAATGTGCCCTGCTTCGCAAGGCGCGCGAGAAAACCCCAGAGGTCCTGCGACTTGTTATGCTTGCCACGGTGATGACCTTGTACTTTACTCCTTGAGTTCCTCCCACTCGAGGCCTTTGCGCCAGCAAAGAGATGAAGAACCACGCGCTTCGCCGCCAGCCTTCGTCGTTATCTCCGGTTCCAAGGAAGAGTTCCGCCGCCGAAGTCATTCTCCTCCGTCATGTACCTGAAGATCCTCGAAAAGTAAGGTGCCTCGGCAACATGTTGGCTCCACCGTGTCAGCATGCTAGTGCCCCTCGGGGAGGAGCGCGTCGTCGTGTTTTCTCCGATCCTCGATCTCCTGAATGAGAGGCAGTGCATCTTCTTCCAACACTACCGGGCATCCTTCTTGAAGTCGAGAGGTGGTTTTCACTGTTCGAGGATGTTCCACAGTGCGCCCTAAATGGGACGGCGCGCTTTTGTATCTCACTTCCATTAATCCTCGATCCGGAACGATGGGCTCCGCCGGTTCATTCAGTCGACGCCAACACGCCTGGCCTGTGACCGGATGTTGGAGCATTGCCGGACAGCCAGTGGCGGACGAGCTCTTTTCTGCTCGATCAAGTTCTCCATCGCGAGCTTGACGTGGTGCACGCGCCGTCTACAAGCCCCAGCGAAGAGCCCGGTTCTAAAGTCCACTTCCGACTTGATTATTACGATCACCTTGACCCTTCGCAGGGATTTTCTCACATGCGGACACTCTCTTCGCGTGTGATTGAGGCCCGAACAAAAGAAGCGCCAATTCAATCTCCTTCGGGCTGCGGTCGGAGTGCTTGAACTTGCACCTGTCTCCTCTACAACACCCTTTCCAGAGAGCCACAACCTGCAGTCACCCTTGGCCTCGACCCACGTTCTTTGTCTTCTGCGCCGTTGTTGTAGCCGTACCATCTCCGCCAATGTGACGAAGGTTCCATCTCCGCCATGGAGTTCGAAGTCTTCAGCTCCGTGAGGTATCGGATCAAGCTGACCCTCGCCCCCTGTCCGCCCGGTTGGATCTTGATGAACAAGGTGTAACAACAAGTGCGTCGCGCTCAACTTGCGCGTCGCCGCAGCCTCAGACTTGACGTTGTCCGGGACCGCCTGCGACAACAAACTGGTCAGCCTCGTTCTTGGCCACCTGGTAGCCACCGTTGAAGTGCCAGTATCCAAACGAAGATGTTGAAGAGGACACGGCGTGTGCAGCTCCTCAATTCCTTCAGAGCCACGCTCTGCCATTCCTCCGCTGACGCGCTCCACCGATCTGTGAAGGTCAGTGAATTGGCGTTTGTACCACGTTGTGCCGTTCAAGAACTCGTCACTGCCACCATGCATTGAAACACCGCCAGCCGGATCAGGTCCCAGGTGGCCCAAGCTGAATTCCAGCAAATACGGCCAAGCCAAACGCACTCCAGGTCCAGGATTGAAGACGGGCCCAGGAACGGGAACCGCGCCACTTATAGATGTTGATTGGGTAGGAACTGCGCGCGTCGGATGGCCTGGAAGCTGCCTTGCCCCACTAGATTCTGAAACCTGCAGTTTCCCACCCCCTTGTTGTGTCTGCCGCCGTCTTGAACGAAGCATCTCAAGGTGGGTTGCTGCAAGCAGCTGTCGTACACCTTCAGCAAAATCCACGGTCTCCCCAGCTTCTTGGTTCTGAGGAAGGTTCACGGGTCTGCTTGATCTTTTCTGCAGACCAGTTGTCTTGACATGGAGCCCGACACCGATAGATGTTCACGGCCTGGCGCTCTCCTTGTCCGTGAGATAGTTTCAGCCACGAAGAACGGGTAGTTGACGATGAGTCGTGTGCCGGGATGATCCCTGAGAGGGCCCTTGAAGCCTGTCCTAACCACTCCTGATCTGGTCTTGTAGTTGACCTTGTACTAGTTCAGCCGTAGGTATAAAGGTGGAAGCAAGTTCCAGAATAGCCAGGCCTCCGCCCTCCGCCAACGCGCTACGCTCCGTCCTTGCCGTAGGAGTTTTCTCCACCTTGGCTTGGCGCGTGCTCTTTGGCAGTTTAGCAGATGAGAGACTGGATGAGCTTCTTGCCCAGCAGACACCGGCGAGGAGGATGCAGAGCGCTGAACCGAGCTCGGGGAGACCTTCCTTCAAGACCCTCCTGCGACTCAGCAGCGATGCCATCGCGTGAATCCTCCACCATCCCGTGCGCACTCGGGGCTGCTACACACAAACCGCTTGGGCTCATAACCCATGGATGCAAAAGTGCGGTCTGTTTTCTTGAGCCAACCATGTTCAACAGCGGGTCAGCAGTTGTGTCGTGTAGTATACTGTAGTACACTTTCTTGATTTGTGTGTGTCGCCCGCAGTTTCAATAGGTCAAGACTTTGGCAATCTGTGCTTGCGTGGGCGTGGCGTTGCGATGACATGTTTTTTGCTGCTGCTGCTGCACGCCCAAGGCCTTGCAGGGAACACGCCAGAAGGCTCACATGAAAACTTATCAGTTTACATACAACGCGCGCACATGATTTGGGCTTTGTGAGACAGCCCTGTCCTGTGCAAACAAAAGGGTGAAAACTCATCGAAGCTATATACTCTTCTGTTAACAGATCGACGCAAGTGATTGCGTGCTTTGTTTTTCCAGGAGTGTTGTGCAGGGTTTTGTAGAAATCTTTTGCGTGACACATCTGCATCAATATTTTCTGGTTTGGTCATAGCTGGGCGAAAATGCTAAAAGCTACATCCGCAGCTTGCATGCATGGTCTTCTAGACCTGCTGCTAGGTGGTAACAGATTCCTTCTTTTTGCCTTTTGAACTTTTGATGCATTAAAAACAAGGGATGCCCCATACCAGAAGAGAGGGCGCCTAACAAAGACGCTCTTCAGGCTGTGGATATTGGCGGGGGCGCTTGCTGACTGCTTTGATATGCGCACGCACACATGGTTTAATGGCGTCGGCCACTCAATCCGAAAGTAGGAAACGCATTGAAACCAAACTCGCGCTACTTCCTCGCTTACCATTCTCCTTCCACTGTCCTTCTTTCAACCTTCGTTCCTGGATGGGAGCCTGAACCAACTTCGCATCAGCAGCTTACCCAGGTGGAGCCTGTGTGTTTCACCAACCCTGATCCCAACTTTTGTAACGTTCTCGCTCTGAAACAAAACGGAGAGGTTATGACGCGTGTTTGTACCAATCTCCTCTCAATGTTGCCTGTGTGAACTCATACAAACGTAGGATGGGGGTGATCCATCACACGCCACTTGGAACCATAGCCCAAATCCCTTTCACAGCTGACAGTTCCTTTTCTAAGGAAGACGACAAGTCTCCCGGAGAGCTGGCGCCAAAGACGCGCTTGATCCAAATGAAAGCACTATGGCTTGCCAACCCTCGAGTACATCAATACTTACAACATTCACTAGACTATCGGTTGGTTGCCACATGCCAAGACAACCCCAATGACCTGTGGTTGGAGTTGTATGCTGCTGCATATTTTGGCGCGGAGATCAGCGCGATGTCAAGCTTCTGGCGGCGTTCTAACGGGCGGAGCCTCCGCTGTACACGCGGAATTTGCCTCGCCTGTACACGCGCAGAATTTACCTCGGTTGTACACGCGCTACTCGGATGTACACGCGGCTTACTCGGCTGTGCACGCGGCTTGCTCGGCTGAATGAACGAATGAATGAATGAATGTCCAGAAGGACGTTATTAACACCCCCCCCCCCC